ACATATAAAAATCCATACAGAGGCACCAACTCTGTAACTGTGATTATCTCATAGCGCCTTTTAGTTTTCTCAATCTTTCCTTAGTAGTTTTGCCATACTAAAAAACAACCATAAAAATATATCACGTTAATATTCAAAAATATTTGAGCTAGATATTCTTTAAAAGTTCATAATAAATGTATTTTCAAACAGCTGGTAATAGTTCTTTCCAAACGAAATGCCTTTGTCTTGTACTTCTTTATTTCTAATTTATGTACAACTATAGAAACAAAAGTCAGACGCTTGTTTACGTTCTAAGGTGGTCGGTTTGAAACACAGAACGTTGACATTATGAACACAGCTTAACGTTCAAACCGACGTCAAATGTACTACATGGGTAATCAGGCAGAGAATTTCAACTTTGACCCGCATAGAGTTCAGCTCTGACCTCACGAGACGAAGGAAAAACAAAGCTGCCCGAGTACCGGTTTACGCGAAGAGAAAAACCGTCATAGGAAGCAGGTAAGGCTTAGAAACGGACAGAAAAGTATTCTAATGTTGAGGGGAATAGTTTAAGACCATTTCTGTGGAAGAAGAACCGCAGTAGGACGATAATTTGTAGGCATTTTCGGGATGTGACTATGGTTGAATTAAAGGGGGAGGGGGGCGAAATCAAACATACGTTCGACCCTCGCCACTTACATGTACGTCGATTTGCATCAGGCAAAGTGGCCTTTTTAGAGCACGTGAAATTATATAGAAATTTTAATTGTATTCCAAATAATCGCACAAGGCGTACATTACAAAATCTAGAAACGCGTAGAACTGATTTGTAAAAACAGTAAATAGAGGAGCCTGGTGACCAAACCTATAGGCTATACTGCCGACTCTCTTTCCAGCCTAGCGAATGGCGCCATTTTACCCATTTTGTTCGTAGTCGTAGAAGTAATAAATAATATGATATAAAATGTTTCAAGAGATTGGTGGTGTGAGTGAGTGATTGTAACATCTCACAAATTATGATTTTGGAACAATATAGAAGCAAATTTAATCAAATGCGAGAAAGACAACACGTTATAGATATGTTGGGTTACGTTGTAATGCATGAGGTTAAAATTGTAAAGCTTGGTGAAGTTAGAATTTTTTCAGTGTGACTATTCTGCAGCACGGAAATCTCACATAGAGGAACATGTAGCAAAACACACCGGTGAGAAACCCTACATGTGTGGGGAGTGTGGATACAGGGCAACAAAGAAGTCTCACTTATCCCGACATATGAGGACCCATACAGGAGAAAAACCCTACAAATGTGATCAATGTGACTATTCTGCAGCACAGAAATCTGATTTGGACAAACATCTTGCAAAACACGCTGGTGAGAAACCCTACATGTGTGGGGAGTGTGGGTACAGGGCAACTCTGAAGTCTACCTTATCCCAACACATGAGAACCCATACAGGAGAAAAACCCTACAAGTGTGACCAGTGTGACTATTCTGCTGCACAGAAATCCAGTTTGGACAATCATCTAGCAAAACACACTGGTGAGAAATCCTATATTTGTGGGGAGTGTGGATACAGGACATCAAAAAAGTCTCACTTATCCATGCACATGAGAACTCATACAGGAGAGAAACCCTACAAGTGTGACCAGTGTGACTATTCTGCAACACGGAAAGCTCATTTGGACAGACATGTACTAAAACACACTGATGAGAAACCCTACATGTGTGGGGAGTGTGGGTACAGGACAGCTCAAAAGTCAAACTTATCCCAACATATGAGAACCCATATAGGAGAGAAACCCTACAAATGTGACCAGTGTGACTATTCTGCAGCACGGAAGTCTCATTTAGACGATCATCTCACAAAACACACCGGTGACAAACCCTACATGTGTGAGGAATGTGGGTACAGGGCAACAAAGAAGTCTCACTTATCCCAACACATGAGAACCCATACAGGAGAAAAACCCTACAAGTGTGACCAGTGTGACTATTATGCAGCACAGACATTTGCTTTGGACCAACATCTGGCAATGCATGCTGGTGAGAAACCCTACATGTGTGGGGAGTGTGGGTACAGGTCGGCTTGCAAGTCTCACTTGTCCATACATATGAGAACCCATACAGGAGAAAAACCCTACAAGTGTGACCAGTGTGACTATTCTGCTGCACGGAAATATGATTTGGATAAACACCTAGCAAAACACACCGGTGAGAAACCCTACATGTGTGGGGAGTGTGGATACAGGACAGCTGTGATGGCCAGCTTATCCCGACATATGAGAACCCATACAGGAGAAAAACCCTACAAGTGTGACCAGTGTAGCTATTCTGCAGCCTCTAATGCTATCCTATCTCGACATATAAAAATCCACACAGAGGTACCAAGTCTGCAACTGTGACCATCTCGTAGTGACATTTAGGACGCACAGTCTGCTGTTAAGTACAGTTTTTTTTCTACTTAATATTTTGAAACGAATCTTAAGGATATATGACAGTTATGTTATTAAGATTTAGGCTGAATATTCTGTAAGAATTCATGATGTTTGCAAGTAGGCAAAGGTTTTTCCCAAGAAAAAGCCCTATACTTGTTCACTATAATATCTAATTAAGTTATGGCTATAATTTAGGTACAAGAATAAGTCTTAGTTTCGCTTAGTAGCCCATTTACTTTGTTGTAATATCAGATATCAAAATCTATTTTAGCTTCCTAGAATTGCGTGAGAATAGTAAATGTTATAATATTGATTGGATAATATACATGATGTTTGCAAGTAGGGAATTAGTGGGCACTTTAATATCTAATTACGTTATGGCTATAATTTAGGTACAAGAAGAAGTCTTAGTTTCGGTTTGTTGTAATATGAGATATCAAAATCTATTTTAGCTATCTAGAATTGTAGAGTGAGAATAGTAAGCGTTATAGTATTGGTTGGATAATGTACATATACATATACATAATCAGTAATTAACATCGGTAAGTGACTGTACACAGTAGTTGACGCTGAAAGGTAGACATTAGTGCTGTGTTTGTACACAGTAGTTGGAATGTAGATGTTAGTGTTGTATGTGTACGAGCTTAGATTTCTTGTGTATCTACTAGTAGTTCCTGTTACGAAGTGTTTGCCTATATGTCCTACAAACACAATAATATCTTCTGACTATCAACTCTTTAAACTACTAGGATTTGTATAAATTAAACCAAAAGCTAATGGTATTGATTTGTATCAGTGTAAAATGACTGATGTGCTTCAGTTCCCAAAGTAGGAAGTTATTTTACGCCAGTGGAAAGGTAGACGATAGGTTGACGTTGTATACAAGTAAATTTCCTGTTTTGTATTTTTTTGGAGATCTACAAATATTTTGCACTGACATAATTAAATCGTGTAATGCCTTGGTCATAATGTTTCCTTCTGTGTTGCTTTTTTTTCCTTCTGTGTTTCCTTTTTTCCTTGGATAGAATATTGTCATAAAACACAGAAATCAAGATTCAGACCAAACAGTTTGGCTTGACATTCATTCCCGTAAATTAACTCTTTGTGATGGGATCCAATCGTTTGTACCAGTTTGGCCCAAGAATGTGAAGGCGAGGTCAGTCTAGAGTGGAGACCTAGAGAGGGAGGTCCTGGTGGTGGCTGTCTTAGGATAGGAAGTTGATTAAACAGTTAAAGTTCGGACTCTGTGACTCGGCTCATCATCTGACACGTGGTGCAAGAAGCGGGATCGTAATCTACCGAAGTAACCACCAGTAAGTGGAGACCCCGTCCGGAAAACCTGACCTGACACTCGAAGATCCTGACACTGAACCATAATAGAGCTATACAAGGACAGACCCGGAAGGACAATCGGAACTTGTGCTGTGTGTTACCACGGGAAGAGAAGTCAGGGAAGAGTCAACCGTGAGTTGGACGGACTGTTTATATGGATTTTTGAAGTGGGTGTCATTCCAGAGAAGTTAAATTGTGTAAACAAGGGGCCGGGAGTGTATGCAGTCTTAAGTGAAACCACATGTGCCCAACGTTATCTGTGTGCATCCATTGTGTGGGACTCCTCAGTCACATTCCAGACAGACCCCGGCAGGCCAGACGGGCCGATTCAAGTCAGTAAACTGTAGCACGGTAGTACCAAAACAAGTCAGTAGCCGTTGCTGAAAGGAAAGAAATGGAGGGATATATCGAAGCAGGGGAAAAGATGGGGCTAGAAGGAGAAGTACTGCATAAGTTTGTGCAGCAGGCCCTGGAGAGGGACGAGAGAGTTAAGGAGAGGGAAGCACAGAGAGTAGAGGCAGCGAAAAGAGAGAAAGAGCTGGAGCTCGAGAGCCAGAAGCTAGAAGCCGAAGCTAAAAGACAGGAGATTGAACTCGAGAAGATGAGAGTTCAAGCCGCAGAGAGAGACAAGGAGAGACAAGAGAAAGAAAGAGAAAGGCAGGGAGAGATGGAGAAGATGAAGTGGGAAGCAGAGGAAAGAGAGAAAGAGAAAGAACGGGAACGACAGATGGAGATGGAGAAGATGAAAGTGGGAAGCAGAAGAAAGAGAGAAAGAGAAAGTAAAGGGAACGACAGATGTCGATGGAGAAGATGAAGTGGGAAGCAGAAGAAAGAGAGAAAGAAAAGGCAGGAGAAGGAGGCGGAACGGCGACACCAGCTGGAGATGAGGCGGTACGGGCCAGAGAGAGGCGCACTAGAGGAAATGGAACGTGCGCGGGCGAAAACTCCCAAGCTTCCGCCGTTCGTCGACGGGAAGGACGAAGTAGATGCCTTCCTACAGAGGTTTGAAAGATTTGCCAGCCCCAACGGCTGGAGGGAGGAGGTCTGGGCCTCCAACCTAAGCGCGCTGTTAACTGGGAAGGCACTCGAAGTATATTCGAGGCTCAGTAACGAAGACGCCCAAGACTACGACAAAGTGAAGGTGGCATTGTTGAAACGTTACAATCTAACTGAGGATGGCTTCCGCAACAAGTTCCGACAGAACAAGCCGGACAAAGGAGAAAGTCCAGAGCAGTTCCTGGTACGCCTGACCAGTTACCTGGACCGGTGGGTGGAGTTATCCAAGACGACGAAGGATTACGAGTCGCTTCGTGATTTGTTTGTGAAAGAGCAGTTTATGGAAGCCTGCCCACCAGACCTGGCAATACACCTCAGGGAGCGAAATCCAGATAGTCTGGTGGAGCTGGCAGAGGTGGCTCAACATT